TTTTAATAGTTGAGGTTAGACATTGAAGTTGAAGTGAGACATTGATAGCGTTAGATACCGGCTCAGTGGTCTAGTGGTTAAGTGCTCGCGCGCGAAACTTATGGGTCCTGAGTTCGAATCTCGCGAGGCGGGATCGTGGATGCGCACCGCTGAGGACTCCTGCAGTGGGACGAAACGGTCGTCCAGTGACTCCAGGTTTCCCATGGTGGTCTAGCTTTAAATGACTCATGATTTCAACTATGAAAATACTGAAATCTCCACAAAACCCCCTTCTTAAATGTTTATTGTAAATTTAATTTCTTACAAAGAATTTGAACTGTTTAATTTATTTTACTGTATTTAATCAAAATAAATTTACTTATAATAGAAAAAGCTTTCGATTCTAATTATAAACGTTTAATATTCTCGTTGTTATAATACATAGGGCCTTAATTAGGTAGACTCTGTTACTATTTACGTATTCTAACAGAATTATCTCGAATAGCATTTAGTCACAAAGTTTAATTTGTGACTAACAATAAGATTAAGAATGTATATTTCTTTCAATTTACAAATATACATATCCCTTACAGATAAAATTTATATCATAACAGCAAATTAGTGGCTAGTTGAACTCGGTATTTTAATGGATAATGCGTTAGCATTTGAACATCAACACTGGGGTGTAAGTGGACCTAATCGATTAGTCCAATATAGGATTATACTCACGTCTTGGAATTCATTGCTAGTCACTATCTAATAAAGTCTTAAAACTAAATGGCAAAATCAGAATAATCCACAGTTAGGAATTTTTAGATTGGTCATAGTTTGAAGAACTTTTAGATAACTATGAAAAGATAGAGATTCAAGTTTTTAAGGTGTTAATGGCATTGTAATAGTTTTCAAATTGTATGTTCCATTAAAAATTATAATTTGACTAAGTAAATGAGCAAGAACATAGTAGATTGATTTGATAAGAACAATGATACGAATATAGTTTTAAAGAATTTTCATGTTTAGCTATTCCATACACTTTATGTTTATGTGTGTGTTTACCCAAAGTTAGTAGAATTACGGTTAATTAATACAAACAAAATAGTAGATACAACTTTTCCTATCTTTATATTATGATTATTCAATGAGTAGGATTTTATAAAATATCAATGGAAAGGAACAGAGTAAATGAAAATCATACATCACTCAACAACTCAACTTACTTACTTACTTACGCATGTTACCCCTAGTGAAGGAGCATAGGCCGCCCACCAGAATTCTCCATCCAACTCTGTTCTGGGCAATCCTTTCCAGTTGTTATTCATCCTTTTCATATCTACTTCTATTTCCCGACGTAATGTGTTCTTTGACCTTCCTCTTTTCCGCTTCCCTTCCGGATTCCAAGTTAGGGATTGTCTCGTAATGCAGTTTGTTGATTTCCATAATGTATGTCCGATCCACTTCCAACGTCTTTTCCTAATTTCCTCTTCAGCTGGAAGCTGGTTTGTCCTCTCCCATAAAACGCTGTTGTTGATACTATCCGGCCAGTGAATGTTCATTATCTCGCGTAAACAACTGTTTATAAATTCTTGTACAGTCTTGACGATGGATGTAGTAGTTCTCCACGTTTCAGTTCAAATATAAACTCTAACTGTATTCTATCATCTTAATTAGTTTGGTTTGATATCATAGAGAAAAGAATGCATGAAAATATGATAATTTACTTTGCTCATTTTTGATAAAAGTCAAAATATTTTACATGCGTAGTGATCCTAATTTAAAAACTATTGGAAACTAAGTAACATTAGACAGGTATTTCGTCCAAGTGTCGGACTCGTTGGAAGTGCACACCTGTGACTGTTTTTATGGATTAAACAGGTTTAATCTTTAAACTACTGACCCAACATAAAATAGTTTACATATTTACGTTCAAACGGTTGACGATATTGCACAACATCTCTTTAATGCCAACTACTGGAAGGGATCTCAGCGGTTTAATCAACTAAATGTTTGTCTCAAAACAAGTTCAATCTCTGGTGAGGTGATGGGTTCCGTACCTAAACGGGAAAGCTGTCTATTCCTTCATGGTCTTCAGTGATTACATTATAAGATAAGTAAGTGGTGTAAATTATGAAATTCAACAATCTCCGCAACCCCCTATATATTAATAAACACTGGTGTTTTATTAAAACGTTTCACTGAGTAGCACATAGTTAATATTATTTTATATAAGCGTTATGAGCATGAAAGGGATGATCAACTATTTTCCCGTCAATGTATCTCAAATGAAAAGTAAATTATTTTTTTCAAAATTTGTTTGAAACCGTTAGTTGGATCTATTTTGAATGTAAAATTGCATTGATAATAAACTAAAGGATTCGCATATAGGATCTTGAGTCGTGTGTGTTTAAAGACTGAAATAGAAATTAAATACTTACTGGTTTCCAATGTTTATTTAGTTAATTTCAGTCTATGGTAAAAAAATAATTTCCAAATAAAACCTACTTTTTATATCTAAATGCATCATACTACTCATTATTGATCAGCAGAATGAATCATTATAGTTATATACTGATGCATGTTGAATCATAAACAGTAACTATCAGCAAATTGCTTTTTATGTAATTCACGACACAATTGTCCAGAGTGATGAGGTTTCAAATTGTTTTCACATTATTTTCTTTATAATCCTTGTTTCATCATTTCTAGTTTAGTTGACATTTGATTTTTATATATGAATGTTCTTGAGAAGTATATTTGTGATCAGATTGTTCGAAATGTACTTCACTAACATATCACATAGTTCTGATAACCTTCGTCTTCTTATTACACTATCGAGAGAATTAAAAGTGTTTCTGGAGTTTGTTAGAGTTCTCAGTGCATTACGAACAAGCCGATACAGTAAAAGTATTCACCTATTTATGATGTGTGCAATCGGGGACAATCTTATGAATGGATGTTTGAAGGAGTGTATAAATTATAATCACCGAATCGTCGTTAGCAAGCTTTGTTTCGTTGACCCCATAACTGATTTGAACGTTCATAATGTTGTGACAGTGTGGTCATAATTAAAGAAGAATCTTCGACCTTATTTAGTCGCTAAAGGTAAAGGGAATTATAATCATTTGGAAGATTTTTATCGCACCTTCGTTGATTTCGATAACAATAAATCAAAGATAAACCTTTGTAAATTTAGCATTTATTTAAAAAGTGGATGTGCATTTTAGATTCGTTTCACTAGCATTTTACCTGGCAACTGTAAATCTGTAGAATCACTATTTACATTTAAACTCAGTAATACGAATAATCTTAAGACTATTTATATTACCAGATGCTTTATCGTGATACCTTCTATTCATCATCGACCAATACTATTAAGTCTAGTCAGTTAAAATTTTGGAATGTATAGTGAGCTATATTGCTCAACATAGCAGTACACTATATTTAGTAAGTAATTTTTGGGAGCAGTTCATCACGAAACGGATTTTTTCGATGCTACACAGACTCCAATATAGTGAGTTAGGTAACCATTAGAATACGAGTTATGATTCTTCCTTTCTTGTACATACTCAGTCAGTCAATAGAGATGATACATCAATAAAAATCCGGAGTTATCCTTCTCTAAAAAGAATATACTAATTCGTCTTTAAACCAACTACGTCAAAAAACCAATGAATTGCCTAGCCTGACACCACCAACCTTGGGTAATAGCGAGAGATAATCTTAACCCCTATTGGTCCAGAATGCACTCTTCTGATAGTCAGTTCCTAGTCCAATGCGATAACACAGCAGACAAGTTCCTACGTTGCTATGTGGATCATTTATTTCAAGCATATTCGGTTTATATACCAGACAGACCGCATCACACCATAAAATAGAAAATAATATTTGTACAAAATCAAGCCTAATGTGGCTGTGAACATGGGAAACCGTAATCAATAAACTGAATATAATTTAGGAACAGTAATTCATATAATAATAATTTATAAGTCAAAATGAAGCTTATAGTAAGATGAATATAGATATACTTAATCTAATAACTCGATAGTTAAACAATAAGTGTTTATAGAATAATCGTCCATTAATAGGTACTGGGAGTTATCCGTACTTATGTCTTCGCTAGGATAACAGATAGACTCATACAAAAGCCAAAAACCTTGAACATCACAACATATCTATTGTTCACAAGACTTAGAAGTTATGACAGCAGCCAAATTTCCAAAAGAGTATGATCTTTAGTAAAAAAAAAACCTGTATGATCTCTGAACCAATTTTTGCAAAAATCAAACTCAATACTAATCTACTGAAACTCAATCAACCAAACAGATTCCCAAACCAACGATAACCATAAAAAAGAAGTATAAGTCATGGATCCCTTGAATGCAATGGCACAGCGAAGTATGGGGGGAGTTCGCTCTCCCTTTATAACTTGTATATAGTCACTGCCAGGAAAGTTCTACTGACTACATTCTCACGGTAGGGAGGTGTTGCCTACGAAATTGAGGGGACGAAAAAAGAATATCCGGCATTTAAAGCGGTCTAGTGGTTTCGGACTGTCCACCTAGAGGAATTGGGAAACTCGGATTCTTGAAGAATAATGCATATGAGCTCTAGAATTTTGAGGGGGTAAATGACGTATGAACTTATTCTTGGTTTTTGGCTGCCATGGGATCTTCTGACGTTGCTCCACTACCTTGTAAATTAGATCTTAAGGTCAAAGAATCGGAGAGTGGTCTACTAAGAAAAACCTCCTGCTTCGATCTGGGCACTCAGACAGTATCCTAGCCCACACAGAAATTTAATAATAACTAGTGTGGCCCACATATACTGTAATGCCTCTTTCTACCAATGTTTATGTGCTTAATTAAGTAAATAAATATTAGCAGGATGGGGAATTGTGAAGATTATGGATACGCACTGATGAAGAATCCCATACTAGGACGAAACGACCGTCCAGTGCTTCCAAGTTTTTAATGATGGTGTGATCTACCTTATATTGACTCATGAATTCAACTATAAGAATAAATAATAGTCCACAATCAGTTGTATTATATGCACTTACACAGAGATAGAATAAAAATTAAACATTGAATTAGAAATTAAAGTAAAATGAATTTCATAAACACAAAATTTCGATAGGTAAATTGAACCGTTGTAACATTTAAATATCATCTAAGATAATTATTTCAATCAAAATTTTGAAGTGAAAACAATAAAAGACTATTAGGAAACTCAAAAGTAACTATGCAATACACATACATACATGTATAATTCCCTATGTATAGATGGTAAAAATAGAGCATACACAAATTATATACAATAAGGAATGTTATCGCTTTAATCGATTTTTGAGAAACACATAATAAAGATTTATTTGTTTAAATAAATAAAAAGTTGATAAGAGAAAAGAAAATATAATAAGAATAGTGAAGAATTGACTAGTTTCTAAAGTCCACCGGAACGTTGACCACTTGTATCACCTATTATATGTTTTATATATAAACGATTTAATTGTTCTAAAAAGATAAATGTCAATACTGTATGAGGTCCAATACGTAAGAAATATGGTGTAAAACCTTTCCATAATGATGGAATACCTTCATTTCGTATTACTCGTAAAATAACATCCTAGAATAAAAGAAAAAAATTGTTTATATAATTAAACAAATGAAGAACTATGTTAAAAATACAAAACGTGTTTTAATCATTTTTTATTAAAGGTCATATTATCAGTTTGTCATAAGCAAAGTAGAACCTGATAAATACGTGTATAGCATTAGTAACATTATCAGTAGTAGAGTAGAGCATGGCGAGCAGAACCACAGCACGAACGAATGTTTTAAAGGAGGGGACGAGTGTAGTGGGGTCTACTTATATCCATATAAATAGTATATGGCGATGGTCAGACATAGAATGCATTTTGGCAGAAGACTGATAAGGAAAGAACTGAAATGAAGCGCAAGTGGTGAGAAAATGCATGAACAATGGAATTAAAGAAGATGGATTGATATTTACAAAAGGAACAGTGAAGATTGAGACAATTGATTGTTATTTTGCAAATTAACTGTTTGCTGAATGGTTATAAGAATTTAGTGAGATAGTCTGTAATAACTTCATAGACTAACACTACGACTTGGTTTGTTTCATAGTGATGAATTGGGATAAAATAAAAAAATATTTTTTATTAGTTAACTTTCCGTTACTAACTGAACAATTCCCAGTAGAAATGGGAAGTAATGAACTATGGTGGATTAATTTCAAGATAAGAAAGAAATAACTATCTGTTAATGTCATTTGCTTAAAGATGTTTACATAACATAAATAAAACACGAAAATGAATCATAAAGAATAATACACATTCATAAAATACCAGAAAACGTTTACAGTTTTGTATACTGAGTTATTGGTTAAATCAAATTTACACATATTGACTATTGATTAAATAGTAAAGAGATACTTTATCTGAATACACTCGGGGAAGTTATGCTCTATCATTTATCTCCCTATTCATTGAGTTGAGAAAGTAATATTTTTGGAAGGGGGTTTTTTTGATCCACAAAAACCCATTCTGATCTATAATCATATGCTCACTAGTGACTGACTTCAAGAGATATTTCCTGGAGTTCTAGTGGGAAGCAGTGACCAGTGGAGTTCAAGCAAGTCTGTTGTAGAGATATCAACTGACTGAAGACAATTAGTGAACGGTTGCTGAAACATCGTGGATTGGTTGTAGTTAGATATTAACACCATCAGATGCCGGCTCAGTGGTCTATCGGTTAAGTGCTCTGGCGCATGACTTGTTGGTCCTGGGTTCGAATTCCGCGAGTGTGGGATCGTGAATTTGCACTGCTGAGGAGTCCCATAATAGGACGAAACGGCCGTTCAATGCTTCCAGGTTTTCCATGGTGGTCTAGCTCATGATTTTAACTATGAAAAAGTAATATTTAACATAAGGCTGAAGGAACACAAAAACCGAGCCGATAATGAGTAATTTCTTCGAAAGTATCGGCAAGAGCCTCGTTTAAAATCAAGTGATAAAAGTAGGCTTTAGGAAATTGTAAAGAGTGACAAGAACCAATTATCGGGGTATAAACAACGACATTTCATAGATATTGCTTGAGTCACTCAATAATTATGTTATTTATATATAGAAAGCCAAAGGTCAACTATACAAAGAGAAAGATAATAAGGAAAATATGGTGAAGTACACTGCGCTGGCCAATAAATCAATATTTCCATGGTCTACTTTGACAACGTTTAGAGTGATAAAAAAGCGCTATTAAACATGGAAAGAGGGTTTCAAGTTTTGTATCACTAAGGCTTCAGTAGAATTTGGCTTATAGCACTCTTCAAAAATTAACTGGAAAACTCAATTCGAAAGACATGCTTTTACAGGTGAAAATGAAAATCACATGTTGAGGGGACTCAATACACTTCTCCATGAGAAAAGGTGAATAACCAGCCTCCCTTTGTAAACATACTAACTAGCAGGAAAGCGGATGGTTGCATGAAGAATTCGGTACATAGAAAGTATATATGGACAGGGCAATGTCTTAGTTTTTATAGTCACCGTCTAGTCTAGTACAAACATGAGTCAATAAAAAGTTTATTTAGTAGGACCAATCATATTTGTACTAGCAACACTGTTAAAGAATGTTTATTCACTAAAGCTCATAAGCCAATAGAAAGGCAGGAATATGGCGAGAACTACTACACTTCCGTCTATATATTACCCTATCATTAAAAGTGACTAAAATAGTCTTACGTTGAAATGAAGACTTAAGTTAGCGATCAGTAGGACTTTTTAAGCAGCCCAACTGTAATGAGTCATTTGAATTGGAATCGTAACAGGAATAAATATGACAGACTGATACAAAAAACTATTGTGTGACCTTATCTGACCTTTATATCTTTATTTGTAACATTAATAGTCATATGGTACACATTTCTATCCTTTCACTTACGTACATCCATGCGTATACATGTTTTTTTTAATTGCCGTTTGCCTATACTACAATTTTCGTACATCAGCTTGGTTATAAAGTCGGTGTAAAGCCAACCCCTTAAGCTTTATCTGTTTATTTTTATATTGTGGCGGAGTTTCGTTCTCTGAGCTACAAATCTTTTTCATCTCAAAATTCATTTTTACCACCTCTGCCTGCTTGGGGATACTCCACAGGTGCCCAGACTGAAGCAGGTCGTTTTCTTAGGGGAATACACCCGGAGCCTTCGACCTAAAGGTCCGATCCACAAGGCAATGGAGCAATGTAGGGAGGTACAGTCCCATGGTAGTCGGTGACCAATAATTGGTTCATACGCCAATTGTTCCCTCAAGATCCTTGAACTCTTGTGCACTATTGATTTGGAATCAGGGTTTTCCAACTCCCCTAGGTGGACTCGCCGTGTCCACCAACCAGGTTAAAGTGCCGGACATTCGCTTCTCGTCCTCTCAATTTCGTAAACAACACCCCCGCCACGAGAAGGCAGTGAGTAGGACTTTCCTGGCAGAGGCTATATACGCGTGGCCATGTGAGAGCATTTCGAGAGGGAGAACTAACTCTCCCCACTCTCGGCTGCACCAGGGCAAATGTAATAAACAATCATCGTCAACAAGTTATTTGTCTCAGGTCAAGTGGAAATTAAAATGCTATTATCTGAATTTTTCACTAGTTATTTCACGATCATTTTACTTATTTGATTCACAAGTATTGATAACGAATTTTTAATCACAATCTCACAAAACCTATACTTTCTCAGACCTTAATTACATTAAGTACTTAGTGATTAATTATGAACCAACATCTTGACTTCGTCATTCAAATCTGTTTCCACTGATTATCGACTTTGTAGTTAGCAGGATGAGTTGTTGTGCATCAGTTTGAGTAAATCTAACTTACTGTGGTTTATCATTAATGACGTACTGGTGATGTCTTGTGGTTTCTTTTTACTGAAAATAACATACTTCTTCATACAAATTTAGAGTGTGGATTAGGTCTGCACTAGAACAACTTTGAGTAAGTTCGTTCCTTTAATTTAATTTCACTTGAATACAATAAGGATTAACAGTTATTTCTCAAGGGGCGAACTTGAAGTTAAGAATAATACGAATTGAAGCAAACAATCTAAGATGAACAGACAACACCAATTTGATAGTTAAGATCATGAGTCAATTGAAGCTAGACCACCATGGAAAACCTGGAAGCACTGGACGGCCGTTTCGTCCTATTATGGGACTCCTCAGCAGTGTGCATCCACGAACCCGCTCTCGCGAGATTCGAACCCAGGACCTACCAGTCCCGAGCCAGAGCCCTTAGCCGATAGACCACTGAGCTGGCATCCAACGGTGTTAATGTCTAACCTCAACCAATCCACGAAATTGCGCAACCAACTTCCAATGTACTGAGGTAGATACCTGTCTCTACCTGACATGGATTAGCTCCACTGGCCGCGGCTTCTCACTAGGACTCCAGGAATTACCTCAAGGAGCCAGTCACTAGTGAGCACATGATCATTATCACAAGGGGGTTTTTGTGGAGATTTAGTAATTTTTATAGTTAAGATCATGAGTCAATTGAAACATTTCAATGATCGAAAACATCCATATGTCCATTGATTAATTGTCGTTGCTTGCTATAAACACGGAGAGTCCCTTGTATGATTGTTGGAGAATAACCGTAGACGCTTATCACTGTTATTAGCTTTTAGAAATTTTTCAGATTGACTTTTTTTAGCAAAGTTTCTTCTACGGGACGGGGTTGCTAACTCCCTGCCAACCCTCTGCCTCTATCCGAGCTTGGGACGAATAGTAACCCTAGGACTACAGGCACCAGGGATTAGAGACAGAAATCAAAGGAATAAATAGCACTTGGAAACAAATGGAAAGCAGAGATCACGACAGAGTTGAGTGGAGAATCCTTATTGGCCTATGCCCCACTAGAGGTAACAGAGCGTAACTAAATAAGCTTTTTGAGATAACAGTACAAGTTCAACTACATGGGCACTTACCTACTTTACTTAAATTCCCTGTTTCTATCCTAAACTCATCTTGGGATTATTACATCAACCTAATTGCGGGATAGGTCTAACAATCAACCAAAGTATTCACCATTCACTCAACCTAAATTCAACTGTCATGAGTTTTTAAGCAGAAACTACAAAGAGCATTTAATCACTTCCCAGATGTTGAAAACATTAACAGAGCTAATTCACTGAACATTATATGACAACTATCAATAAGAACCCATTCTAAAAGTGAACTGTAAACGTTTACTTGAAACAATACTTTAATGAAATTTTATAACAGATTACCAATGATACTTAAAACTGCTACTATCTATTATAATTATTTACTTATAGTTAATCAAATAATCTTTAGTGGACATAATCTTCAGCTAAAATAACGCTATTTGATAACCAGAGTAATGATAAAAATATTTAATGAGATATAATCAAGAATTTATTCCTTGATAGGTACGCAAAAAAAATAAAAGATTCTTACCCCCATATTTTTATACTCTGGTTTTCCATCAATAGTTTTCATATTTTGAATTCTGGTCTTAGCAATATCAATTGGTAAAGAGAAAACAGATGTAGTAAATCCACTTAATAAACTAGCCATTATATGTACACCCAAGCCATCAGTGAAATGACCTAGAGAAAGGAGATGAATTCGAAAACATGGACAAATTTACTTGATGAGTATAACCTATTATAAAATTAAATGATATACGGACTTATTACATGAAAAAGTAATCATGATGACGATGATGTGGAAGACTTGGGTCAAGATTATCTGTTTGTTGACATTCATCCTATCAAGAATATTTGAATTTTCATAGTTGAAATCATGAGTCAACTCAAGCTAGACCATCATGGAAATCCTGGAAGCACTGGAGGGCCAACTCGTCCTATTATGGGATTCCTCAGCAGTGCGCATCCACGATCCCGCACTCGCGAAATTCGAACCCAGGACCTACCAGTCTCGCGCCGGAGCACTTAACCGAGGAGGAGTCCCATAATAGGACGAAACGGCCGTCCAGTGCTTCCAGGTTTTCCATGGTGGTCTAGCTTCAATTGACTCATGATTTCAACTATGAAAATACTGAAATCTCCACAAAACCCCTTCTGATCAATATTTGAATTGCTTAAAGATTTCCATCATATCAAAAATTCGATTGCACTATTATTTCTCTTACCCTATCTGACCCATATTTATTTGGATCATGGATCTTAAAATTTCACTTAACATATAAACTCATTCAAGTTAACATTTCATATGAGTCATATCAACATTAACAATTTTATTATATTTCGTTTGACAATCCTAAATTCACATACTTTAACTTTAAACGATGCACTTTGCCTTAAACCTGGCCATTTTTCTGATTATTAGTTTGGATATATAATTGTAAAACCTCAAGAGAATTTACCAAAAAGAATATTCTCCGTTCAAATATTAGTCTTTTAAGATTTGAATTTACTAACTGTTGTTGTCCTTACCACACTGAAACATATAGCTGTTGTTTACATATACAGGTGATAGAAATACTATATTATGAATCAAAATAAATGTGAAATCAAAATTAGACACAACACTTTCTGGTGAAGTTTTTTCAGGAAAAAATCCTGAAAATAAGGTACCGAGAATCATATTACGATATAGGTTATTGATAAGTTCGAATGATTTAATTCCATCAGTTACTTTACGACTAAACTTTCGCTAATTTAAGACAGATGACACAGTGAGTATCGATAAGAAATAATTTTCTAAAATATAATAATTCCCGAAACATGCCTTATCAATAACAACGTTTTAGATTTCGAAGTGGAGTTTCTGACTTCAACTTTAAAAAAGAATCTAATGAATCATGTACTAACCCTGCAATACTCTTCGAACACAGAACAAGCCAACAGTGTAACTAATAAAAGCGTTAAGTCGAATGAGTTCACTGAATGGTTTGATAGAGACCGTTTCATACAGTAGTAGATTAAACATTAATTAGTGGATTATAAATTAGCCATTTGTATTTGTATTAGATTTCAACATCAAACGTCATAATGGAATGAAAACTAAATATTTTTTAAAAATATTTATTGAAAAATAAGCACTAACTTACCGATTTCAATAAATTTTTGTTTGGCTTGAGAATAAGTGGCTAATTGTGCACCATTAACTACAGCTGCTCGACCCATAGTTGGGACTGCACCCTACAATATAAAATTAATGCAGGGAAATATATATATGTTTCTTCAGAATCAAAAAACATTCAAGTAATGATTCGTTGGATTATAGGATATGATTTGTTCAGCAGTTGAATTTAGAACGACTGACAAAATGTATATTACAGATTAACTAGTGAAACAAAGAAGTGGTTATGAAAATATTGGGCGAAATGTTTACTTTAATATTTGGCTTAAAATAATTTCTATTGAGAGAAGGATGTTGAAGAGTACAAACATATATTTAGAGAAACTTAATACTTATCAAACATCAAGTATAGGGTTGTAGACATCGTTGGGTTTCATTGAAATCATGAATCTATCTAGTTTGAACCACCATTAAAAACCTGGAAGCACTGGGTGGCCGTTTTGTCCTAGTATGGGAGTCCTCAGAAGTGCGTATATTCACGACTATGTAGGCGGCAATCGAACCCAGAACCTTCGATCTCGCGAGCAAACACTTAGCCTATGGACCACCGAGCCAACATTTAACAGTGTTAATGTCTAACTCGTAGATGTGGACTGATGAGGAGTCCCATACTAGGACGGAACGACTATTTGGTGCTTCCAGGTTTTCAATGGTGGTCTAACATCGATGGGTTCGTGATTTCAGTGACAAATCATTTACTTTCATAGAATAGGTTTGACCGATGTATATGAACTCAAAGATTGTAAAATAAAACATACACTCTGACAAAATTCAAGCTGAACAGGTTATAAATATTGGTGTTTTAGCTTGTTCATTTCCGAAATGTGAATTGGACAAACATTGATATCATTTTTATATGTGATTTTTATTTATTATTGGTTAAGGCTAAATGAAAGGCATTAGAAATCATGAAAATGAACATTTCACTTAGAATGTGAATTCCATCTGATAAACAAATATACAATACAAACGAAAATTCGGAAGCGTTAGGTATCTAAAAAAATTACCGTACATTTTTATCGATTTCAACGTTTATATGAATGAATTATCCACCACAAACTTTATGGAAATGTAATTATGAACAAAAAGTAACAATTTTTTATAGGATAGAGATGGAATGCATCTAACAGTGGGATCTTGGACGAGCGTTTCGTCCTATTTGGGAGTAGTTAGTTGGTTGCACATGAAACACAGAATTAATGTTCACTTCAGGATGCCAACCCAGTACCTTTTCCTCCAACCGCCTAATCCGTTATCCACATATTTACTGAGTCCAGATAGTTGCTAGCTTGTGACAAACTAAAGCTTATAAAAATTCAGTCACACAAAGGAATATTAGCTATCTCAAGATTACAAGTACACACCTAAGGTAGGCCTAATTGCTTGTATGCCATCAAAAGGTCGAAGATGAATACTACCACATATCTACTGAACTATATATATATACCGAATATTTGGAAGTTGTAAGAACGCAAATTGGTGTAAAACTGAAAACTGTTACATCAGTAGTTAGCTCGGGAGATTATCATCAAATTAAACAAACCCCCATAAAAATATCACTATTCACTAGAAAAACAAAACAAACATACACTAGAATTCACTCAGTATTGTTTGTTTGAATCTTCCCATTGATGTTTAGGACTGCAACTGGTCAGTCTCTTATTGGCCATATATACATACTGTGAGTATTGCCTCGATATTGCCTTAATTCACAATCATGGTAAGCAAAGATGGATAGTGGCTAGCAATGGAATTCAGGACGCACGTTTCGTCCTACTTGGGACTCGTCAGCTGGATGTACATGCATCTCAGAGTTGATGTTAACTCTAGGACTCGAACCCAGTACTGAGTCCTGATAACCAGTAGCCGAGTGGATAACGCGATGAGGTTTGAAGCGAAAGATACTGGGTTCGAGTCCGAGAGTGAACATCAACTCTGAGATGCAGGTACATCCAGCTGACGAGTCCCAAATAGGACGAAACGCGCATTAAACTAGATTCCACTGCTAGCCACTATCCATCTTTGCTTATAAATATACACTAGGTTTTATATGGCATTATTTTAATTATTCACTATAAAAACAAAACGCACACGCTTCCTACAATACACATAGTAGTATTAGATGAGTGAAAGTGAGGTAACTAAACATGACCTAATAAATTCCAGTTCATCGTTCAATCTAGTTTTCTTTATTACTTGTCTACATTGATTATCTACTTAACGAGTTACATTCAATTCATCTGATAACTTTATCGATTTGTTTTTTGACCCAGTTGAGATTCATGAGGTCATTGTGTAATGTGATAAGTTTAAACCGTTAATATAATTTAACATCATTATTCTTTTTGAATATTATATCAAATATTTACATTAGACATCTTGAAAGTCAGATATTATTTAATGACTTGTAGCGATTATTAACCGTAGTCCGTTATCTATGGAATTTTGCGGCATCTGCAAATTTTTCGCATAAACCTTTTCATCAGAACTCATTAAAATTTTACAATACACAAATTGACTATCGTCTTAATACAAATTCAAATATTATAATGTATGATAAGAATAAATATATTTGGCAAATCGTTTGAATATACCTAAGCTTCTGAATTCGTAGAACAATAAAATCAACTAAACTATCTTTGCCGTCGATAATTAAGTGTAATTAGTTTATGAAATACAAGTTTATGTGTTAGGTTTTGGGAGATTTATGTGAGTTGTCCATACCGAAGTAGGTGTGGTGGGATTCGAACATGTGATATAGTAGTTGGAAACTGAGTACTTTATCCATCGAACCATCTTTCACTAATGATTAAAAAATCGGACGAAACAAATTATGTATAAGGACTATTTATCATCAAAAACTGGAAATGTAGTGACCCAAAACCCTGGCCAGTTAATATATATCAAAGGTTCTAAAATTTTCACACAATATATCCTATTTATCTTAACTGTCAATCTTACCGCATTACTACTAAATTAAATATATATTTTTTCATCCAGCCATACGTAACGTAGAATTTGACAAATAAGTGAATCGGTTTAAGATGTCATACGACTTTAGCACAGCCAGATAAAATTATTTCAAAACAAATCGCAGAGTAGTAGAAGTAGCAACAGTATTACTAAGTAGTAGAAAAAATTGGGTATGGAAAGAAAAGAAAAGTGGTAGAATATTTTGGGATTCGGGTTCCGAAGGAAGACAAGGAATAAATGCACACCCACCACTGCGAATGGTTCTGAGCAATTACACCCAAAGTCTCTAATCACTGATCACAATAACCTCTCAGACTTCAACCAGGTAGTCTACACTTACTAACATGGCATAGTTCAATTGCCAGTTACTTCATGGACTGGTTCTACATCTTGGTTTGGTGGGCCCTAACGTTTTCCCAACATCCTATGATTTCAAATAGTGGCTGGGAATACATAATAAATGTCCCAACCACCTCAGTTAGTGAAGGTTCACTAAACCATCAATGAACTTGACATATTTACCTAGCAACCTGCCTCTGACCTGAACATTGCTCACCCGGTGATCCAAAGAAATAGGAACGATGCTTTGAAAATACCTATGATTAAATACTAGTAACCTAAAAAATATCCTCTGTTCTTAACGACCTCGCGGTTAAGGCCTTCGATTTTTAGCCACCAAGTCCCTGATTTGAACCCCTCTCCATCTACTTCGGTTTGGGAAACTGGGTAGAACCATTAGCCATAACACTTAGTGCGGCTCATATGCAAGTATCTGGTAGAGGAACTAGTTTTGATTTCTTTAATAGTCATGTTTCATACCCATAAAGCAGAGCATAGCGAACTTTTACGCAGCAAACTTGTCTTTTGGTTAGTATACAAAAATCTCGCCTACACCACTGGTAATGCGAGTTGGCAAAGGTCAATCGAGTTTCTTGAATCCGTGCCGAGATTTTGTCAGGCACCAGCACATCAAGATTGATGAAACGGTGAAGCGGTCAATGTACTCAACCATTTCTATTTCCTAGGACAACGTCAAAGACCAAGGTATTTTAGTGATAGGATACAAAGGCTGTGGATTGTGTACACTAATTAACTATGATATATGCATCAGATTCACACTTTTAGCCTTTTTTAAGACTCCAGAGTTTTGACATCTGATTGTTAGTGGTTGAAAGTTGGACAAGCTATCAGTATGATTCATTGGAACTGTAGATTTTAAGACAAAAAACTCTAGTCTGATTTACTTAGAATTATTCTGACTTGTAGGCTTCAATTTTTATAGTCATAAGGCTTGATTTTTGAGAATAGTCTTAATAAGTTAAATGTTGAAATTTAAACAAGCCTAAATTAATCGAATACGTAAAATTTTTCCATAATCATTCGATTATATACAAATACCTTACAATATATATAACATATATTACAAGTGCGCATCCGCGAACCCGCGAGATTCGAACCCAGGACCTACCAGTCTCGAGCCGAAGCCCTTAACCGATAGACCACTGAGCTGGCATCCAACGATGTTAATCTCTAACTTCAACTGATCCTCAGCGCACTACTGAGGAGTCCCATAATAGGACGAAACGGCCGTCCAGTGCTTCCAGGTTTTCCTTGGTGGTCTAGCTTCAATTGACTCATGATTTCAACTTTGAAAAATACTGAAATCTCCACAAATCCTCTTCTGATTATATATTACAAGTATTTAGAAAATAGATATAATATTAATACTTAGTTTACCTACCCGCCACAATGTTAACACTCCTTCTTCACGAGCGATTCTTGTTAGAGCATTGAATACATTGGAATAATTGAGACGTTCTGCTGGTGGTAATCTTATGAATTAAAATATTCACAAACAAAAAAGTTAATTACTTATTAAATTATATAAATTAATTTCGGGTTAGAAAATTGGATTTAGTAAACTTTAAATTTAACAGATAGTTTACAAATGTATATAATAAGATGAACTTTGTAATGTTATGGTGAGTGTTCATGGGGAGAGAGATAACATAAATGGCCGATTTTGTGGTTTATAGATTATAGATCGAATTTCCAAACCGTAAAAAAGAATGTCTTATGAAATAACTCAAACATTTTAATTTTACCAATACAATTTTCTTCGTGATTGCGGACATATATATACTGACGGTGAAATATATATGTGGATTAAAAGTGTTAAATTACAGATATTATCGAAGCCTAATCCGCCTGTAAGAGAATCATCAACTGAACATGAAATGTTACTACATCTTCCAGTATGATTAAGCTGACAAGTGCTAAATATGATCAAAATAACACAAAGAACCAATCCATGAAAGTCATAACTATTGCTCTAAGCCATGTATACTACTTAGTTAGGATAACCATAATGTTATGAATCGATGATCTAGAAGCTTAGAAAAAACGGTTCAAAATCAATCGCATGTGCGCAAACTGTCACCGTGCTTAATCATATCTTCTCTAATTTTTTAAGGATTATCTCCTGCTCAGTTTCTATCTGTGTATCGTTAAGATATGGTTGTTTAGATTTTACATTGTCACCTGTGTCTCTGTTATGATTGAAATAATTTACAATTAATCGATGATGAGTTGTATGAATAGAAAGCTAGTCAATCATAAGCAACCTGACACCTGGGACATATGCTTATTGATCCAAGTTAGCACTCGGCTTTGGATCATATTGTTTGTATGAATATTAATGATACTATCTGGTTCCCAAACAAAAGTAAGCGGGAGTGAGGTTCGAACACCCTACCTAGTAATTGTAAGTCGAGTTTTCAAACAATACACCACTGTTAATAACACTCCAGTGAACTTTAAGATACTATGCTTTACAGAGGCCCGAGGTGAAACATGATCATTGATTTACTCTAATATGAAAACAAACTAAGACCTACACATAAAGATATGGGGAACAATTGTAGGTCCGGAGAGCGATTTTGGTAGAAATAGGTTTTCTGGGTTGGGTGATTTACGAGTGAAGCTTTCGTTATCTTTCTAAACAAAACCAGCAAAAAAGTCAAATTGAAGTGAGGCATTCAATTTTCTCCACATATAACTAACAGCTTACTCAATCGTCTTTGATTTTGATTAGTTGTTGTTAAAATTTGACTTATTGTTTTCCCTTTGATTATTGACCTTATAGTTGTTCACAATTTTTCTAATTAGTTAATAAGTTGGATCAATTTTGATAAGTTCACTAATTGATAGTTTACCTGAGTGCCAAACTATTAAAAATTCTCCGATCTCCTTTGTATTCCCTCTGTCCAACATATCAAAATCTTCTCAACTGAACATTTATCCAAAATTGTCTGAGTGAATCGATATAAGTGAATATAAATCGTGGTTTTTGACGGCTAGTTGGTGGGCATCAAGATGTCTCCTTTCTTTTTCGTCTGCACTGAGCAAAATGTAACTGTTTGTAAAGATCGTTTGAACTACGAGGACAGGTAGGTATTCATTTCTACTGAGTGCAATAAAATTTAGTAATACGTCAAACACTTCAGTCATTCACCCTTCCTGATAGGTGGAAAAACCTTTTTGAATTATTCTTACACCTTTAATATCGACTTGATAGTTGTCGAAAATAGTATGTACTGTTTTTGCTGATTTAACTTGCAGATTCTCGAGTTCCACATCATCATCAGGTTGTTATATAGCTTAGGTGTTTCTCGGAACAAGTCAAGATTTCACGTGAAGACTCTCCAATACAGATACAATCTAATTTGTAAACATAATTCTGTGTAGCAGCAAACAGGATTCTACTTTTATTTCGGACTAAAACATTTAGACAATATTAGTTGATTTTGGCAATGCATCAGTTTTGTGTTGCCTTAAGATTCATTGCAGTTCGCTTGTTGAATCAAACAATGAATCATTTTGTTTTTGATGTTTATAGGAGAATTACTGAATTCTAATTTTACTATTATAAGCAGTCCAGCCAATAGTTAATTTAATTGAAATTAAGAAGTTAAACCCTGGTAATGATACTTATAAAACCAATATATATAGTATTACCTGCCATCGGATGTCATACGGATAAGACAAATTTCAGCTGGTGTACCAATGAATGCGCCGCATATCCCAGCAGTTACAGCTATACTTATTTTAGTGAAGAAATTTGGAGATTCTTTTTTACGCTTTGTATATTGTTCAAATAAATTTGTATAGATGCCTAAACGTGCAGTTGAGTAGGTGGCTTGACGAAGTAATCCAGCTGATAAACTAAAAGAACAGTTAAATAGTTTTTATTTGTTAATTCAATATTATTGTTATAAATTATTCAGCTAGAAAATATTGATGGCATTTAAGTGGCAAATAATGTTGTGTTATAAGTGACACTAACGATAAGATTATGTAATTTTATGATTAGCATAGAAAATTACCTAGACTACAGTAAGCATCTAAGGCAAATAAATTTGGCACTCCATGTTCGAAGTGAATGTAAAACTAAGTAGTAATCCAATTTAGCAACAAAACCAAAGTTTGAGTACTAACCTATTTGTTTACGACCACGTTTTAGGGGCTATAACAGTTGGCTTAAAAATCAACATCAATGGTCCACAGTTTAAACTTGAATTAATACACGATACAGTGTGATATTATATATCAGAGGAGAATGAGGGACTATATCCATCACTATTTCAGTATTTTAGTAAAAATCCATATCATTCATCAAATCGTCAGCCTACTTATTCAAGTACCATACGTTAATTAACTTTATCTGATAAATGAGATTTAAGTCAATCCCATTATAATTAACTCTATGATTTCTGCTGGTGTAAATCGGTAACACTGTCAAAGTTTTAATAGCCTGCTTCCTGTCGTATGAATATAATGGATGATTAAGTGGAATCAGCCCAAAGAAACCAATCAAATCCAGCAATGATCTACGATTTCGACAAGAATCCCAAACAACATAAGAGAAAAACGGTTTACTTCAATTTGAATGTGTTGGGGATGTCAAATCCCCAGAACTTACTTGGTAAATGGCTTAATCTTGTAGTTTTATTTTGAAAATTTGAATTTAGCTGTTTTCGCGCCAAAAGCGCTCTTTTTACCTTCACGTCATATTTCCCACCTGTAAACTATCTTAACCGCTATTGGTCCTTTGTTTCTTTGTGTGTGCTATTTACCAATGATGCTCAAGGACAAATTGTTGTTGTATAAATGCGCTTGACTTTTTCCATTATTCGATTGCTTGTACTCGGCTGCTTACGGAATACATATATATTCCCCTACTTGCCTTGGACTTCTTCATCTAGTTAGCGGGGCCTGGGACAACAGATTAGAATAGCTTGTCGTGTCATTGTGTCATTGGCTTTCGTTCGTTACCGCGGAATCGATTTAGTTTCAGGCATAACAGAATGTCTTTATTTACTGTTTACATCTTACTGTTCCACAGTATTATTAGTAATAACTTAGGAAAATTACTTCTTCCCAATTAGCCCTTTTTCAAACTTCGGTATCAATATATAGTTTTGGAAATATTATTTTAATAAAACAGTCAAAAAAACAGTTAGATACTAGTGAATTCGGTCAAGCACTTAACAATAATCACCAGACAGTTTATTTATAGGTCAGTCTAATTCAACTTCATGCTTCAGAACCGTATGATTGTTAGCGTGGAATCTAGTTAGATGCTAATGAAATGAGAATCAATAAATCCTGAAAATAAACTAACCCTGAGTATATTGCAAAAAATCCTTCATTTTTAATAACTGATAGAAGCACCTGAAGACTATTACGTTGACCAGAAGTAGCACTTCCGATACCTGTCAATTTAACAACAGAATGTATGTAAATAAATAAATACTTGATAAAGTACACCGGACCATAACAATCGATTTGCAGCCATTCAAACGATTATGTTTGATAAATTAAACGGATGTAGTGTGCATACCGAATGAGTTTACGGAGAGTTATTTAATTGTAATTGTTTCCTGCTTAAGACATTTTCTAACAACCAGTCACACTATCGTGTTAAACTATATAATTTTTTACAAAGTGCTTAAAATACAAACTGTTGAAAGACATGGAGGTTACAGATGGAGTTGACAATTTAGTTACTTCTATTATAATTTTACCATTGATAGCACTTTCAAAACAGATTTTAAGTAAATATTTTGTGATATGGATAATTTTTAACCTGAAGGAAGACTCATGATGTTGAGTATGCAGATAGTATCGTTTTACTGTAAAACAACATGCAGGCTACTGAAAGTGCATTCGACTATTTACTGGACAGTATGGTATTTAATTTTAATCACAAACTTATAAGGTACTTTTACAATGTCAGTAAAAGCCTGTGCCTGAACACTCATTTCGTGGTGTTTTGTTGGAAACAGTCACTAGTTTGTGTATCCGAGTAGCTGTGAGCGGTGGATCTAAAAAACACCTAATTCCATAGAAATCCTCAGTTTCTGATTAATTTTGTTTCAAGTGGATACTTGAGGGCTGTTTCGTTGTATTCTGAAGTTCCTAAGGTGTAAGGATTCGTGAATAAGGCTGAGCCCCCGGGCAACTAGTATTGTAGCAAATCAGAGGAAAATATCGATAAAAGACAGATGTCAATGGTCGTTTAAATAACAAATGTTGCTTTAGGATTTCATAAATATCTACTTACTTGATAAAAAGAACAAATAAACTTAACTAATTAAAAATAGAAAGGTCTCAGATAACTGAATGAGTAGGATTTAACAATCGGTAGCCAATAAATTGATCGTATTTCCAGATAGAAGTATGGAGCTACGATATTCTTCCTATTCTTATAAAACTGGACTATACCGGAATTGAAGCTAGGAAGCTTATTCATGGATATAAAAGTATACCGGACATTAGTTATATAGTCGGCATTCCATATTATAAATACTGTTAGATAAATGATAACGTGATGAATGAAACTTGTTTACGATCTTAGAGTGGCTCAACAATCAAATTTGTTATTTCTCTTAATGAATACAGATAACACAAAACAAGAGAAGTTGAAACCCAAAAAGAATGTCTTACCGCTCATTTGCATCCTATTTTTGACAAGGTCCAAAGGTTGAACGCAAACAGAAGCACACATTCTGTAAAGTCAAGTAGTGGAAAGTGAGACTCACATTAATACTGAGGATATTCATTCTAATGATCAATAATCAAAACTCATGGTACAAGATCAATGTTGGTAGAGTAAGTCATTGTCAGCAAAGTATGAGTGATGATCATATACCGCAACACGCCGAGGTTGAAATTATGAGAAAGATTAAATATACTATTTTCACAAGGTACATATTTGAAATTAATAAGAGGTGAATTGAAAGTGAAAATAATGACTGGATCAACTATTGTAACCCAGATAGGAACATGATTAAGAAGTCGGAATCAGTGTATTTTGTTTATCACAGTTCATCACTTAGATGAATGTCATAAACAATAGCTTAAGTAATAAGTGCTGTGACTCATTCTAGTACAAGTTATAGATATTAAGTTTTAAAATATTTTCATAAAGCCAATGAGACTAAATGCATGCATGTTCAAATACCACATTTTGAGTATATTAGATACGTAAGAATTAACGATAGTGCTTGGTTGTCAGAGGAAATTGCAAAACCTGTTTGAACCTATAACTTTATAATCCATAATCCAGTACCAAAACTAATGATAATAATGAGACATTAGTAAATCAAAACACAAATATAACAAGGCTACACATTTCAACGATTATCGTTTACAATTCGAGAACTATAAACATTCCTAATCTAAAGCCAATAATATATATTGAGGGACAGATGAAACAATTAATACACTGTAGTGAATGTAAATGGTTGTGAAACAGATGATAATGATTGATGTCAATGTCTAACTTGAAAAATAATCTTTTTCTAATCAACTAGAATATCATTAATAATTTAGAATTTCGACCAAAACAAATATACGATATTCATACTCTTTAAATACATTTACCACAAAATCACTTCACAGAAAAAATGTTTATGACCATAACAAAGAATTCAAACTATTGCAGGTCAACTATGAGACAGAAAATATGGAGACGAAACGTATACAGACAACAACTTATAAGGTTGTATATGACCAAATGGTAGAGTAGCATAAACGTATTCGCATTTAACATACCCAGAAGTTCCACCCAATATAAACTTCATAGTAGGAGGTACCTCAACCTTCTTTTTTTCGGTCTGCATTGTTGAAAAATATGACTACGCACTTTCTTTAAGTGAATATATAGATATGAAATCGGTACACTTAACCGTAAACAGCTGATACTAAAAAGAAAATCACAGACGATTGAGAGAAAACACTGAATACAAAAGTACGAACCTGAATAATTATCTCGCTAATTTATATCTATAAAATCGGGTATAATTTAGCATCAAATATATAATGCACCACAAAATTTGAGAAACAATATTGTGGAGAAATATAAAACAGAAATGAAGCCAGAAAAAATAACTATGACATATAAAGCCCAATCTAATGAAAAATACAACCAAGGACTTTTTCCTATCATAGTTTCTATGATGGTCATGAGGAATGTAAACGAAAAATAAAAAAGGATCAATATCGGCTCCCGATCTGAGATATGTCTGATAACACCTAAAGTATTTGAGTTGCATGATCTCTAGGATCCTAACCAAGAAGTGACGGATCGACAGATACCAGCTTTTATTCCAAGGTGTCATCATAATACATCCAAACCAGTGACAGCAGCGTTTAGTGTGATGGCACTATGTAGACAATCGTTTCCTTGCTGAACCTCATCATCACTAGCATTGAATTGGGAGGAGGCTAAAGAAAACAATTGAATATTTTTCTTATAATTAATCATCTACTTCACTACATAAACATATATAAGGTTACAAAACGACAATTTATGGATTACAGTTCTCATTATGCACAAAAAGGAAGCGCAACGTGATCAAGACTATTTAAATAATACCGCTGATTACAAGGAATCTGTGGTACAGATATCGTAAGCTAACGATTATCATGGAGATAAATTTTAGGAGCTTAGGAGAAACAATGAAGGTTGAAATAAACTAGGACGGGACAATGTGCAAATTTCACGCACCAAAAATCAATTATATACTCCTGAGAATTTTTTGATACAGGATGGTGCACAATTAATCGGGGTCTCTCAGTTTAAATAGATTAGATGAAGTGACAAACCATATATTATTTAACAGTTTAGTGTCCTAAGAAAATAGAAATTAACTAGGTACTGATTTTTGAGTAGATTAGTATCAAATAAGTTTAATCAAAGACAGAAAACTATCATTTCATCATTTCGCACACAACAAGCAACAATCTGGCTGGTAAGACTAAATGACTGTTTTAAATCAGTGTGAGGAATTAGAACTGTGATTCGCAGTTTATAGTTACGGTTAGAAAGTAGATCTAGGGTTTTCAACAAGAACCAACATCAGCCGAAACGCTAAACGGATGAATGGACTTAGCGCCAAAATTCAAGACATGTTACCTTAAGTGTGATTGGTTCGTCTACGATTAATTCTTGCCGCCATAATGAAGTTACGAAGGTGTAACGGTGATAAAAATCATTACATGCAACATTAATAATGTGAGTTTGTATTTCTCATTGCAGGGCAACAAAGAGTGAATGCACTGGAAGAAGAAGAAGAACAAGCCCTACGCGGTCTGAACCTGCAGAATAACGAGTAAAACAATTTTGTAATAACTTTCCCCTTTTGTACTAAAAACCGCGTTTTTCAATCTCAAATATATCTGTTGCACCAGCACACCGTGTTCTTACTTCCGAAGCACTTGTCTGTCCTGACTGTTGTGTTGCTGTTTCAGGTCGCTCCTGCTCCCAAGTAAACGTCGAAATACAACGTGCTACAAACGTGATGCCATCATAATGATGCATAATATAGGACAAATCCCCAATGTTATTATGCTATCGCGACGATTTACTAGTTAGGACAATTTTGAGAGTTACCCGGAAGAAGTACATATGGTGATACGATTTCTGTGATTGATAATTCTTTGTTCAGTATTTGCACACTGTCATGTCAGTATAAATAAAAGAGAAAAGATGGCCGAACTCCGAGGTATTTTTTCGTCAAATATGTTTGTACATATGGAATTCAACGCAGTACATAGAAATCAGATGCTTGTCTTCAGGATTTCGATGATGATGGTGATCAATATTCTTACACTTTGTAGCGGTAAATAAATTCCCAAAATCAATAGCTCTGTAAGTGTTCAACATCGTATGCTGACCACATTAGTTTTAGTGAACTCACCTAGCTGAAGGTGCTCGGTCATACATCTGCACCAGAACACGAGTGGGAACGCCGTGCTCAACTTCTCCTGCGATCGCTAGCCATTTTAGGTTAGTCACTTCTCGATATATTGATAATCTACCATATAAATCTTCGAACCTCCTAACTTCTGACTTTTGGATTCACTGGGTGGGCACGATTCAATTATTTAAGGTGTTGCTGGTTAAAGTACTGTCAAACTAAAATACCTGTGGCATCATCAACCACTTAAATCACCACAACAGCATATACAGAGTAGATGGCATCATCATTGAATGCCTCAGTCAGAGTGACTTAATCCTTCAGGTCAAAATACTGCCAATGCAAATCTGGACTGAAGGTCCGTGCAGTGAATGGTGAGCTAAAGGTCACCTCCACTAAAACGTACACACCTATTCATGCACAGGAGAGTGTATTTCTGTAGGTCAAAAACGACAGTCATTGGGTGGGCGATTATACTCAACACCATTTTTGTCAAGTAATACACCGACGCGTAACATCCAACATCTGATTTCTTAAAAATCCACCAAGCAGATTGTCACAGATGATGTTGCGAAACTGTCGTCATAGTTGTTGGTAAGCTCACATTCTAATTTTCTGAGTTTAGACGTGATTCCACAGCGCGTCCATTCAAACACAGAAGTAGAAGTACTTGAAGAAAATGGGAACATGACTATGATTTACTTCGTTCACAGGGAGCAAACAGCTATCTACCACACGCTTTCAGAGATGGTATGTATTGACTCGACTTACAGGACCAAAAACGTTGGGTAAGTGGTGAATAATAGCATCTTTGTCTTGAAGCTCACTGTTGTTCCACCTAGTCGTTACTGATAGTCTTTGACGACGGCACAGCATTATGTCTACTCTTCACAGGCAAGAACCACGCGTAGATGTCGTAAACTTACTTGAATACTTCAAAGATATGATGTGATACACACTTTCGTCATGGGTTCGGCGCGACTGAAATTTCTGGTGTACAGTCTATTCACATTTATACCGACACTAAATGCATTTTTGGGAGTGCTAGCGTTAACCGCACAAATTATTTTATGTAGTTCACAAATGCCTGAAGCATTTTGCTAGAACCAAGCGATCTGACATGTCATCTTTGCTTCTTGCAATGGATTATATTCTGATTTACTCAGAAGTATGAGTACCTGAGAACAAATTTTTCATCACCGTATGGTTAAATATGTCACTAGATTGACCGGAAGTCAATGTGGACTTCCTGTTATCAGCACTGTTTATAAAGCGTGAACAATCACACAAACAATCGTGTGGGACGTTCTCACAAACAAGTTTTAAAATGTCTCTTCTGTAAACATTATGGAAAGTTCGGAGTTAGACAGATGCTGACCTACGCTTGACGCAATAAGGAATCTGAAGAGGATTAATTCCTCTATATTTGACTCCAATAAATACACAATATTCCGTTAACTGAATATTTTTAGCAGGCTAATTCACCTGGTAGAATTATGGATTTCCTCGAGGTCATTTGAGAGCCCGAGAGAGATAGTTTATTGTTAGAGTTTGTTAAAATCCGCAAGCGTGCAGATGGCAAGAACACAGGGAAAACAAGTGAGAATGTGTGCATCAGTGAGTGTTATAAATCGGTATATATTTATGAACGCTAATGGATTGTGGATAAATTATTGATTATCTTTGCTTACAACCAATGAGGGAATAGATTAACGATTGATGTGTAGACATGTGCCAAATAAACAGTTAGTAAAATAATACAATGAACATATACATGGAAATGAACAAACGTATGCTAGTATGCACAGTTCTTGTTTATCTGGTCGATCTTTACTTTGTGACTCACTGTATTATAGAGAAGCCGGTGTTCATAAATCTAATATCCGACTGTGAAATCTAGCAATTTCCAATGGTAAGGCAGCTAGTCTGGTTTGAATATAACTACTTCAAACAACTGCGACCTGTCTTTGATGATCATTCTCTTTGCATATGTAGGGACAATGTAATGTCTTCAGACTCTAGCCGAATCATCTGGGGTTCGTGTCACTGGATGTCAAGCAGTTCACCGGTCCTCGTCAAGATCAAGGACATTCAACGCGCATCAATTTGATTGAACTTCATGAATTAGCCCAAAAAGCTATGCTTGCACTCTTTTCCCTGTGTCTCTTTCCACTAGTATATCTGTATGATAACGTCGTTTGTGTTGTAGAATCATCAAAGCAGCCATTGTACATGGTAGAACGAGAGGGCGATCCATGTTGAGTAATAACCCCGAGTCGTGACTTCATCACTAGCGGGTTGATCACACCATTCCCCTGTAACTCGAGTAGCCCACTATTCATCATCATCTGCGTTAGTGGTCTACACACACTTGACTGAAATTCATCCTACCGTCAATGTCAACGCGATTCGTGATTTTACTTTTAAAAAACTCATACATCTCAGTGGGTTTTCTGTATCGCACTCTATAATAGTACTTATTTCTGCTAGTGGCTATCTTTTCAAGAATATCGGCAACCTAAAACCTGAATCTGCGTAGAGAAAGTAGTAACGCTGCAATGTTTTCCTTGTCCCTGTAGAAAACTTCACGCGTGTCTTTCGCATATGAGCCTGATTTACTTTACTGGAATGTAATGTTATGGTGACTTATATATCCAACCACAGAAAGTAATATTTACGACTGAGTAGTAGTTATTATCGCCGGAAGTAAATATACAGCATTTACAAACGCAATAAGTATTGTTTTCTTTGTACTCAAACTATTTTCAACGTAAAGTAAAAAAAACAGTGCTTGTCAGAAATGCTATGGGGAAAAACTGCTCTAGTGGCACATGAATAATGAATTTGTAAGAATTTGTGATGCCATGTATCGCAGAATAAAAGACCCTTTTCACCTAGTTTTGAAGTCCCAAAGTAGGTTTGCGATTTAGTTAAAATCAATTTCAACTTTTGACAATGCACGACATTGAAATAAGAAAGTAGATACAAAATGTCACAGTGGCAGTGTTGTCGACAAAAACCACAGACAGTTTTTATTTAAATAACGAGAGATCTCCATCTGCACTCTGATTAGTTCGTTTTTACAAACATTTGAGCTTCAAAAATGTCAGTGTAATATCTCAAATTCACGCAATCACTTTGTTGTTGTTTTGAACACTTAGGTGAATGATTATTGCTATTCTTGTTCACTTTACGTCACTCATTATTATTTGTTTTAACTTGTCACGATTCTACAATACAGTTCGTTACAGCTAACTTTTGATCCGCTGCTGAATCGTCGACTATATTACTAGTTCAGAAATCTAGTCCTCTCACATTATGGAAACATAGAGTAGTAAGTACTATTCTATCTGATAATGTCCTGTGCATGCATTGAGATCAGTTGTTTTCATATCAACCTACAGACTAGCAGTAAATTGCTGCATGTAAGTAAGTAATATTGTTTACTTGCTTCGACACACTTGCTCGTGACAACGTCGAGCATATGATTAGCCTCAACGGCCTTACAGGGTGTGATAGATTTGAGGTAGTCGGACGTCGTCTAAACAGCAGAATGAGCTCTCCAAATGGCAAGTACACATTACGAGGCTATGATACTTTCTCTCAACAGTAAAGCGCGCCTCGAACTACTAAATATTAACATGTCATGCACTTCTAGAGTTTATGTATTCAATATACTTGGGTATCGTTAAGAAGCCGACAATCTTACGGCGAGATTTATCACCCAACAGACTTAAGAGTATAGCAAAGACTGCCACCACGATTATAAATGAATCTCTGCTGCGTTGTAGTGAAAATTTGCCTGACCTTCAGTGGAAATTTCATACTGATGGTTACAGGTACAAACGGAATATAATAAAGTACAGATTCTGTAACACATAAGATGCCGGTTCAATGGTCTGTCGGTTAAGTGCTTTGGCGCGAGACTGGTAGGTCCTGAGTTCGAATCTCGTGAGGCGAGGTCGTGCATACGCACTGCTGAGGAGTCCCACAATAGGACGAAACGGCCATCAAGCAATGCTTCCAGGTTTTCCCTGGTGGTCTAGCTTTAATTGACTAATGATCTCAACGACATAAAATTACCAAAATCTCCAATAAACCCCCTTCTGATATCCATAATTGTCAAGCGATGAAAAAGTTGTTATTATGCAAGCTACCCTTAGTAAAAATATATTTTGTCGAATAAATGTCTCTTTAACTCAGATTAAACTCATCACATGTACCAGTGCGTAAAAACTAATTAGATGTAGCAGGTAACCTGTGGTGTGCATGAGTATCTCGTTTGAACTGATAAGCTTTTTCCATATGTTCACGTAAACTTAATGCCAATGTTTCTGTATACTGCGGATCAAGATTTTTCTATAATTAACAACGTTGGCGTCTCACTTTTACCCTATGTAAGTGATTTTGACGA